ATGTCAGTTAGGTAGATCTGTAGGACTACCTGTGTTGTTATATGAATATATGCATGCTCAGTAGTTATGTTATATGTTGATATGTTATGTGGGATGGGTTGAGGTGATACTGCTCCGTGCGGTAACCAACAAACCCGGGAGTATTCCAGATATGAGCTGAGGGCCCGGTAGGCAATCCAGACTCATGCTGAGGACTCGGGAGCATTCCAGATACGAGCTGAGGGCCCGGTAGGCATTCCAGACTCGTACTGAGGGCTCGATGGTATTCCAGATACGAGCTGAGGGCCCGGTAGGCATTCCAGACTCGTACTGAGGGCCCAGGGGTGATCCAGCTCGTAAAGCTGTGGACCCATTATATGTTGTTCAGTTTTTTATGATATGTTATTGATGATATTGTGATGTGGACTGTATGTGTATCGGTATTTTGGGGGTAACTCACTAAGCTTTCGGGCTTACAGTTTCAATTCATTGTTTCAGGTGCATCAGTGGATCGTGGCAGGGCAAAGGCGTGATCGTACAACTCCTCACTTTTTATGACTATGTTTCTGGGATACTCTGATATTATACATTTTGAAAATAAGTTTGTAATAACTAATGGTTTTTGGATTGTTTAAAAAGTTTTAAATTGGCTTGAATTTTTGGGTGTTACAACGAGGGCCATCCAACCTAGGTCACACAAGGGGTATCGAACATCTACTCATGCACGTGAGGATTATCTAGAAATATACTCACAAACAAATAACAAGCAAAAAACAACTGTCAATTGGGTACTCGGGACCACAAAGTTACACCATTCTAGCATGATATGCATGTATGCAACAAGTAGGATGCCAAAAATCACTTTTCTCAAAATAAGCATTTTAGCTTATATCAACCAAAAGCATTTATGAAAAAATATAATTTCGTGAATGCATAAATAATCCATATACGGGCAACTAGCAATCAAATATATGTTACATTGTTTCAAAACACAAAACCAATAATAAGGGATATGCATTCTTAGAGGTTCTAGAACATAAATGTCAAGAATATATGAATCTTACTAACAAAGAATAAGATAAAGTCCTTCAATGGAAAACATTTCCAAAACACCCCCTTTATTTAGTTATGGCGTCCCGAATTATAAAAATATAGTATTAATTAAAGGAAATGACATAAATGGTACATAGTATCGAAATCATATTTATATGCATACTTTTACTTCAAATAATGGGAAACACATATAACATAATCACATAGTGGGGACAGTGTTCCTTGGAAAGTGTACTCACCTTAAATCCTAAGCTTGAAATACCAAAGATGTTCTAATCATGAGTTAATCCACTTCCAGCTCCAAAATCCCCAAATAAAACACTTAATATCAGTACAAGGTGTCAAAAAAAACTATAATACCCTTCTATGGGTCAACTTAACATTCTAAGTTCAAAATACACCAAAATGTTCTATTAAGTCACTTATTAAGTTCTTAATTGAAAAACATAATTATTATGGTTTCAAAACCTTCCTCGTATTAAAAAAGAACTTAGGCGAAAACAGTGTGCTATTTTGAGTCCGAATGAAAAAGTTATGACCAAAACAGGTTTTTCCATTTGTGACATGAAATCAGAACAGTGGACACGACCCGTGTCAAATCGACACGACCTATGTCAATCCCAACAGGTAAAAAATAGCCAAAATTCATTTTCAGACATCTTACTTTGGTCTAGTGCATCCAAACATCCTACAACTTACCCAAATGACTCATGGAGCTTCAAATGCATGTTAAAACACTTCAATTGACATAAGAAAGGGTCCCCATGATCCCCTCCTTAACCGGACCGAAGATCGCAGGAGTCTGCTCCAAAATACCACGGGTGATCTCCAACATGATGAACTCCCGCATCCGCTCATCAAACAACTTAAAACCAACACCTGAGCCTGAACTAGATCCTCCTCCATGAGTTCTTATCACCATTCTGAAAAGAAACCATAAAATAATCACAAAATACCCACAAAATCCTCATCCTACAGGCTTCCTAGAATCTCTGTGACTTTCCTTGATTAAAGTATGGATCCTATGTTTTCTTTAGTACGGGCCTAATACTACCTTCCACACCTATCCATACTTTCCTCAATAATTATCCCGAATCTTCTAAGTCACTTTCTCAAACTGGTACTCCAAATACTCGCTAAATAGAGCATCCAAAACCCACTAAAACACTTCCTAGGCTCCCCTAGGTTCCTCACCATGCTATCAGCTACTGAAGAACTCCTATCAATGTCAAGTAACTACCTTATGAATACAATTACATGCAATAAAACTTAAATAATCTTTCGACCAAAATAACCAATCCTACAACGGTTGGATTCAGACAAGAGTTGCGCAGTAGAGCCAAGTCAATCGCTATGAGGTTATTTAACCTTTTTAAGCATGTAACTTAATGTATTCACTCAATAGTTAACTCACATTTAAAAGTATCCCACAAAGCATAAAGCAAGCATCATTCTTGCAGTAACACTCCAAGCTACAAAACAATCAAAGGACATCCCAAACTCACTTGTTACTACCATTATAGGAACATCCACTTCCACTCTCACTGTCGATTGCCTTATGCATGCAAATTATACACAAAACAGGATCAAATAGAATGTCGAATAAATGATTCTAACCTAGGACCACAACCAAACGAGGAACATGAAATAAGGCTAAATCAGTCATTGGATGGGTATATGATCCTAATCGTATATAATTTTTAAAGCATACACTTAGCAATCACTTCTATCAAACATAGATCCCAAATCTAACATAACATCCATTTCTTCTTATGCTATAAGGCATCACAAATCAGGCCAATCTATCATGCAATTCCTGAAGGTATCCTTAGCCTTATCTTAGCATGCAAACATTCCATATCACATAATATATCAACATGTATGGGTATTCTGGGAATCATTTACTTGAGCTTGGCTGATTGCATGCACCACATCCCCTTTTTCTTTAGTAAAAATCTTTTAGAAAATTAATTTTCTTTCAAAAAGATTATAAATTCCTCAGTTTGAGTCCAGACACACTCGAGAGTGTGCCCGAATCCCTCAAACCAAGGCTCTGATACCAATTTGTAATGTCCAAAAAATTCAGAGCAAAATTCTCATTTTTAAAACAATAAGCCATACAAATAAGTTGTTCCAAACCAATCAAATTGATTACATCATGTAAACATCAGAGTAAGAATCATAATTAGCCAATGCGGAAACTGTAGGGGATTGTGACATCCTGGAATTTAGTGCTAAATTTATAAACAGACAATTCACCATGAAACTTCTTGTAACTTTATTTAAATGGATATTTGGGTTAAAATATAGTGTCGTTTCATTTACAATAAGAAATGAAATGATATTTTACTTCCCATTGTGGAAATTCTCAATCGAGTCAAAAATAACAAACTATAACCCTAGTTAGCGTCTAAAAAACTGAAATTTTGAATTTAGCATCTATGAGTAAAGAAAATACTCTAGCCTCATAGTTTATGTTTCCATGAGTCTGGGTACCACCAGATACGGATGGAAGAAGAAGATGTTCATAAAACCACTTTTAGGACTCATGAGGGGCACTATGAATTTCTCGTTATGCCTTTCGGGTTTACCAACGCCCCGCCACATTCCAATCTTTAATGAATCAGGTATTCCGACCGTTCTTGTGATGCTTTGTACTCGTTTTCTTCGATGATATTCTCGTCTATAGCAGGTCCTGGGAAGAGCATGTGCATCATTTAACTTTGGTACTACTAACGATGCAAGAGCATTATCTTTTTAAAGATAAAAAAAATGTTCATTTTCTCAAAATGAAATCGAGTATTTAGGGCATTTGGTTTCAGCTGAGGGTGTATTGGCTGATCCCTCGAAAATTGAAGCTATGTTGGAATGGCCGGAACCGAAAACGCTCCAGGAATTATGCGGGTTCTTAGGGTTGATGGGGTACTATCACAAGTTTGACAAGGATTATGGGAAGATTGCAAGACCACCCACAGATCAGCTCAAGAAAGATAATTTGTGTTGGAACAAGGACACTTCACAAGCTTTTCAGTAGTTAAGGACTGTGATGACTCGTGTTCCGGTTTTGGCCTTACCAGATTTTACAAAAACATTTGTGGTGGAAACCTATGCTTCGGGTGTTGGCTTGGGTGCGATATTAATGTAGGATTCTTGCCCAATTGCTTATTTTAGTCAAGTTTTGGTCCGTCTAAATCCATGCATTAGCGCGAATTAATGATAATTGTTTTTGCTATCCAAAAGTGTCATCCTTACTAGCTGGGGCGAAGGTTTGTGGTTCGTATGGATCAACAAAGTTTAAAATATTTTTTGGAAGAGCGAGTCGTGGCTGAAGACCATCAATAGTGGCTGTCTAAACTATTGAGGTACAACTTTGACATCGAGTACCGTCCGGGTCGAGAGAACAACGCAGTTGTTGCATTGTCAAGGTAGAATGGGGCTGAATTGTTAGAGTTGGTAACTGGTTGCACAATTGATTGGGAACGGTTGTGGCGAGAGGTTGAAAATGACCCTGCATTGGTCGATCTCAGGCAACACGTCATTTCCGGTCAACAAGTCTGTATTGTTACTGTCACTTCCTTCTTACTGTCGGTATATGCTTTAGAAAAGAGTCCTTTTACCTCCACTGTTCATCACTTCATCGATAAACCCTTTCTTGTTTTCTGCTTCTTAAACCTCAAACATGGAACCTGTATTCTTACAAGTAGATGAGCACTTCCAAGGAATGTTCGCCAGAAACCCCATACGCTACACCCACGGAATTACTCAGAGGTTTTCAGACATCGATTCCGTAGGCATTTGACAAGGACGGGTGCGTTGCGTTCATCGAAAGGTTCATTGTGGAAGAGTCTGAGAAGCTCTATTACTAACAACCTGTTATTGATTTTCCTTAAGGTTTGACTTTAGTTAGCAATGACCCGAATTATTTCGGCTTTATAGCAATTGCATATGAATGTGGTATTATACTCCCTATGTATGTAGACCATTTTGGGAATAGTAACATGCAGGAATGGTTGGATGAACATAAAGACGAGGTTGTTGGTAACATACAGGAAAAGGTACTTGATGGTTCAAGACTGATTAAGGAAGTTGCAACAAGACATCGAGATGTGGCTGACATTGATGATGAGGAAGAGAATGGCATTGAGGAAGATGACGAGGATGAGGATGACGATGAGAACCCTTATTTTTTGATAAAGGATAATGGGATTCAGGTAGACATGGGTGAGAATGCAGGTGTAGGTGATTCTTTCGAAGAAGATATGGGTGACAATGAAGATGTTTATCCCGAGTTGCCAAATATTTTCAATGATAAGCTCAATTTAAAGGAGCAGGAACATGTGTTAGGTATGAGGTTTGAGAGTCCTAAACAATTGAAACACATGATTTGTAACTATGTTGTCGCGAATAGTTATCAATTCTATTTTAATAAGAATGATAGTAGACAATTACTTGCCATATGTTGTGATGGGAAATGTACATTTAGCATTTGGGTATCTTGGATGACTGATGATAAGTCTTTCCAGATAAAATCTCTTATTAGTAAGCATAATTGTGCAAAGGATTTCAAATTCGAATCAATTGTGACTTACAAATGGATAAGGACCCACATTAAGCAACAATTTTATAACAATCAAAAGAAGAGTGTCTGATTGCTTAGAGGGGAGGTAAAAACCACTTTTGGCATTGATGTGAGTATGAGTCAGTGTAGGAGAGCAAAGAAGAATGCATTGACTCTAGTTGAAGGCACAATAGCTGAAAATTATGCAAGAATATGATAATATGGTGAGGAGATTAGAAGATCAAATCCTGGATCCACAGTTAAAATTTGTGTTGATGCAATGCCTGATGGTATGAATTACTTCAACAAGATGTACATATTTTTTACTTCAGTAAAAGTGTGGTGGGGGGGGGGGGAGGATGTAGGAGGATCATTAACCTGGACGATTGTTTTCTGAAAAGTTTTTGCCTAGGGGAGTTACTTTGTGTTGTTGGTAGGGACGCTAACAATGAAATATTCCCAATTGCTTGGGCGGTTGTTTGTGTGGAAGACAAGGAAAATTGGAAATGGTTCATAGAAACTCTTTCAGAAGATTTGCAATGTTGGAATGAAGGACAAGGTTTGGTTTTAATTTCGGATCAACACAAGGTATGGTACATAAATATTTCATGTTCTAAAATTAGTAATTGCAATTCTAATTTCAAGCATTCATGTGACTTATGTAGGGTTTGATTGAGGCGGTAAAAGAAGTATTTCTAGCAGCTGAACATAGGCAATGTGCTAGACATATCTATGCGAATTTTAGAAAGAGATTTAGTGGAGCCAAGTTTGAAAATTTGTGTTGGAAAGCGAGCAACGTAACAACTGAAGAACATTTTAATGGCGTTATGAAAGAGATTGAAAAGTTAAATCCGGCTGCAGTTGTGCATCTTATGGATAGAGATCCATAGACTTGGTCTTTAGCTTTTTTCAGAGTTCACAATTCTTCTTGTGAGTCAATAGGGAATGGCTTTTCAGAGAGCTTTAATAGTGTGCTTTTGGATTCCCGGAAGAAAGAAAACATAAGAATGTTAGAGGACATTCGTATATACGTGATGTAAATGATGGTGACTATGAAACTAACCGGACAAGGATGGAATCGTTATTCTGTTTGTCCAAATATTATAACATAGTTGAATATGCTCAAGAATGAGCAAAGGTTTGTACACTTATCCAATAACATACATACCTTACTGGTCACATCTCATAATATTTTGGGTTTTCATCTATGTAGGCATCGGCATGTCGTATCTTGCGGGGGAATGAAGTTTGAGGCAAGGAAAATGGACGAGGCATATATTGTTCATGTTAAAAAAAAGGAATGTAGTTGCAGGCTATGGCAACTTAATGGATATGGTTGCCTACATTTGGTTGCCACTTTAGCCTATTTAAATATCACACCTGATAGGCCATATGTAGATCCAATGTACTTGGCTGCATTCTTCCATAATACTTAGAAACATTCAATCCATGGATGAATGGAAAAAACATGTGGCCTTTTACTGACTTGACACCCCCTTTGCCTCCATTGAAAAGACGTATGGCAGGCAGGCCAACCATAAAGAGAAGAAGGGATGCTTCTGAACGGATGGGAAATCACACTATTTCCAAGGCAGGGATGAAGGTTTCTTATAGAATGCAATGAAAAAGGTCACAATAAGGCTACTTGTAGTCAAGTTATAGGGTTATCCAAACAAAATAGGACAAAGAAACAAAAGATTATACCTACGTAGGAGTCTGTGAACGTTACAGAAGGGGTTTGGGATGATGAGGTAATGGTTGATGCAGGGGATGCATTGGAGACGACTGGTCGGGAAGAGAAAATGGTGGGAGTCAATGGACGCGTGGAAAGGGTCAAGGTCAATGCTCGTGTTCGTCAAGTTCAGCATGTAAGACCACCTAACAAAAGGAAGAAGTCGGAGAGAATCATTAAAATGAAGCTTGTTAAAAACGTGAGAGGTGAAGGTAGTAGTCCTGCAAGGGCCATGGATTTGGATTAGATAATGGTTTGGTATTTGTATTGAATGTGTGTTGCAATAAACGGACTAATGTATGTTATGTTGTTTTATGGTATGGTAAGTTAGTATATGCTATTTTAGATTAACTTACATACGTATTGGTATTTTGGTCTTTTCCATAACACAAATCTGTAGGGGTATTATGGGCATTTACATTAAGTTATCATGGAATTCGTATGTTACTCATGTGGATTAACTAAGAAATACGAGAATTGTAGCCACTGTAAAGGAGTTAGGACTTCAGGGTTATTTTAGTCATTTCCATTAAAAAAATATCGGGGTATTTTGGTCATTTAGGGTGGTTCAACCATTTACAATATTTAATCAAGTATGGGTATTTTCTTCATATAAATAAATTGACCATTTAGGATCAACTTGTGTCATTACTAAATATTATGAATGCGGGGGTAATTATGTCATTTTCTGTAACATGATAGTTGTAACATAATCCATTAAGCTATTCTTGTAACACGTTATATGCCTATTAATCCATTAACAATCAAACAAGGAAAAAGTGAACTGACAAGGAAACAAGAAACAATCCACTTTAGAAAAGTTTTTTTTCCAAAAAAGGGTTACAGACAAGGAGCATTATGCCTCGTATGCAAAGTTAATGTTTAATTTTTGCACTTTTCCCCAACTGCACCATTTGTGGTCCCTGTGTATCTGTTTAAAAAAAGTATATTCAATTTGCTTTGGCTTGTGGTCCCATCCCAGCGATGAAGATCCACATAATTGGGAACAAGTTACCAAAACATATATAATCCCCAAATGTTTCATTCGTTCATGCACAGACATAGAAACATGTGTACGATAAATTTTTTTAATAATAATATAAACCAACATTTCATCCATGGGTTTGTTTACATCACTTTTTCCTATTCCATAACCTATTACAAAGATCATCGACAAAAAACTTCATAAAAAAACGATGACCATCACCAGCCCAGGCAACACCACCACCAACTCTATGCACCAGCAACACAAACAATTACCAGCAACAAGCAACAAGCATCACCAGACACAAAATCTATTACTAATATCGACATTAAACAACTTAAATAACACACCAAAACACAAATCCAAGATAGAAATTCCTTAACCTACACAATTTTTTTTGTTTAACAACATGTACATGAACACACCCACAGTAGCAACACCAACAATCCCAAGAAAATACTTCATTTTCTTACGTTTGGTGTGCTCCAAGACCATCTTCACACACGAGCCTTGCAGAGAAACGAAATGATTCTTAAGATCAACAACGATATTAGAGATATACAGCTGACCAGAGCGAACGTCATCGACCTCACGGTTCATGGAATCCAAGTCTCGATTAACACCTTGTCGGAGCTCACACAACTAACCTTGGAAGTCCTCCCGTATGAAAGACAATTCCAACTGGGTTTGTAGTAGATTTATGGGCATGTCTTCGTTAGTTACACCATTGAAATGATTCTCCTCCATGTGACGGCGGTAGTTTGGAGACCAGCTGTGTTCTGCAGGTTCGAGCGAAGGCATTTTCCAATTTTGGAGTGAAGTTAAAGACGAGGTCGGGGTAATGAACTTTGCAGATGTGCCATTTTAGGGCAACAAAGACTTCAATTTATTCGGAGGCGCTTGAAAGTCGAAGCTTGCTCCCTACGATTCACATTCAATACGACGTCGTTTCGATTGTTGGGACGCTTTGAATTCTTGCCATGTCGTCGCTTACGTGTTATGCTATGCTTATGTGGCAACGTAAAACGGCTACAATATGTGAAAGGGATTATATTTGTAGGTAACAGATAATTCATTCCCTTATAAAGCCACAAAATAAGTTAAGTGACTAAATGGGTAAACCCTAGAAACATAATAGGGCATATATGTCATTTTCCCTAGTAGTGAATAGTAAACAAAAAATAAAAACCGATTCTAAGGAATATCTTTGAGCGGGAAAAAATAAAAGTGAGGACGTAGAAAATGACACTAGGCAGATTGAGGGTTTAAAATAATGATAAGTAGCATTTTTAAGAGTCTTTTATTAGAAGATGATATATATATATATATATATATATATATATATATATATATATATAATTTTTTCTTTCACCCACTGTAAATACCACCCAACCCCAACATTATTTTTAACCCATTTCTTCATACTCTTTCCAAAAAACACTAACACACAATGTCATCATCTTCATCATCCGATTCAACGACGTTTATAGGGCTCATATTCAGCCCGACAGAGTATTGGCACAATGATTTGTTTGACGAATCAGATTATGATTCAGATATGTTCGTCGAGAGCGAGGATTCCGATGACGAGAATGATGTAGAATAGAACGATGATGACGATGAGGTCGATGCCGAGGACGGTGATTCCGAGTTACGTATTTTGGTTTTTTTTTTTTTAATTTGGATATTAATTATGTTTTCTAAGTTGTGGTTTTTTAATATTTGTTGTTTTCTAGTTGTTTTTTTTTTATTTTTAATATTGCTTATTTTAATGTATCTTTTAATGTTATTTTTAATTAATGAATTGGTTTTTATTTTTAATTAAATTTTATGTTTAATATTCATTTAAAAAAAATTATAAATCATCAAAATTAATTAATTTTATTAAAAAAGAAAAGAAAAAAAAAAGTAAAAGAAGTTTCCGCACACTCTCTTTTGATGAGGGAAAGACCTTTTGATTAGGGGTGTTCAAAACCGGATATCCGAAATTTCGGTTATCTGAAAATTTCGGATAGTACTTATTGACATCCGAATTCGTATCCGAAATTTCGGATATCCGAAATCCGGATATCCGAAATTTCGGATACGGATTTGGATATTAAACCGGATATCCGAAAATGTTGACCCTTCAAAAATATGTTGGATTACAAAATGAAGCATATTTCAGTTACTTTCTAGCTATAAATCAAATATTTTTCACTTCATTTAGTTCATTTAAGGTTCGTAAATAAAAAAAATTAAAAAATTCCCTAGATCATACTAATTAACACAGGAAGTGAAATATATTAATTTATTGCTTATGATATGTATTTACGTTAGCACAAAACAGTTAAACAAATCAAACAAAAAATATATAATCAATATGTTTCACACATTAAAAGGTAGACAGAGTAACATTACTTCATTGCATTAGATACTTTTAAAGGTTAAAATGTTGGCACTATTTAATTACATTTTTTAATATTCACATTTGTTTATCATTAAAATCTAATGTACTCAACTTGGCAGAAACATGACATGGAATTATAGATACATTTCACTGGAAAAAACATAAAATAAATTTAGTACCCAAAAATTCAAAAAAATAAAGTAATTAGCAGTGAAACATGTCCGATATAAGTTAATAAACAAATACACAAATGCCCAACTCTTCCCGAATATTTCTTTTTGAGATAAAAAAAATAATTGTAAAATTAAATATTTCGGATCTCGGATATCCAAAATATCCGAAAATTCAGAATATGACTATCCGTCTCCGAATCCGAAATACCGGATATCCGTAAATTCGGGTATCCGAAATTTCGGATAATTTCGGATCGGATTTTCGGATAATTTCGGATCGGATTTTTCGGATGGTGGTATTTTTGAACACCTCTACTTTTGATGATGGAAAGGAAAGCCCTAGTAAAGGTGACGTGGAAAAAATGAGGGGACACGCACCCTCTGGTCTTAAATATGATACCCAAGCCAAACCAGAAATGTAAACCCTAAGACGCCAATTCTTCGACATTTTCTCCATGATGGGTAAGTTTCTACTTCATAAACTTACATGTTTTTAATTCACCTAAAGTCCTGTGCGAAAGAGATTTCGTTTAGGATTTCTCTTGCTCATTCCATTAGGAAATGTAAACCCTGTTTTGGGTAGTCGTTGTCAATCATCAAGTGTCCACTAGAAAACAAAAATCAGGAAACCGATTTTCTGAATATTTATTACATTAGTTTGAATATGAAGGCTATAATCTTGTTTTTGCAAGTATGAAGGGTATATTATGTGGTGATGTAAGTTGTTTTAAGTTGGGTTTTGCCAGGGGAAGCCATTGATGCAACTAGAGAAATTTTATCCCTGTCAAATGCAATCAACCGATAGAGAGGTCAACCCCTGTATGATTTCGTGCCATGAGTCACACTTTTTCACACACAGGTGTCCCAGGTCAGCTTGTTTGGCATATTCCATCACTATATTCCTTTTGGATAGGCAAATAGCTGATATTGCTCTAGGTTCGACACTCTTACAACCATTAAATCATAAGAATTGCAAACAATACAGCTTCTATATCATGAGTTATGTTACCACACCTAAAAAGAAAATTTAAGATGAGTATTAGAAATGTGAAGTTGTTGAATTTTTTGATGCCTTCCTTTTCTTTGAAATAACTTAATCCCATTTTTTTTTCTTTTCTGAATCTAATGACAGAGAATTATAGAGTGGGGCTTGTAACTTGTGGTAACGAAGATAGTGTTGGATAAGATGTCTAAGTCCATAACTATTTCTGGTATGTACTTGACCCGACCCGGCATGGTCCATTTCGGTTGCATGGCATCATGCATTTGGATAGACTAAATGAGAGAAATAACACTTGTGGTTTATTAATATATTATAAGTTCTAATATATTATAAGTTCTAATATATTAATAGTATTATTTAATTAGTTTGATCAAGAATTAATTTAGAATTAATTAAGTGATCAAAAGATAACTAATTAAATATATGGGTAGATTATGTAAATCTTCCATATATTATATAGTGGGCTAAGAGGCTCCATGGATTATCAAGTTGGGTTCCACCCATAGCATGCTCCATGGATGCTCTATGGGAGTTACAAACCCATGGGTCATGGAAATGAAGAGTCATGACACATTAGGGTTTACATGGTGTAACCCTAGATGTGTCAACAATATATAAGAAACCCATTCTCCACCAAAATAGGCTACACATAAGAAACAAGAGGGCTAGAGCCGATTTTGCAAGTGTAAGATTCTCTCAAAGTTTACTCCTTTGCATTTGGTGTTGTGTGAAGCATTTGAGGCATCACACTTGGGGTGCTAGGCTCACAAGGTTTCAAGGATCATAATAAACAACAAGGTAAGTTATTCTATCTTTCATTCAAGTTATAAATATTCCCCATGTATGCTAGATAGGAATATAACCTTGGAATTCAACTTTGCATGATTATTAGACAAACATAGATCCAAGGTTATTAGGGTTGCATGTACACTTAGGAAGTGTTAGAATGCTCAAAACCCATCAGTGGTATCAGAGCCTAGGTTTGTTTGTTGTTTTTTGTGTGCAAACAGCTTGAAAAAAAATCGTTTTTCTGTTTTCTGCTCGTATGAAAGTTTGCACATTTGTTGCTGGAAATGGACTAGAAACATTACCCTAAACTGTTTTGATGTTTTAAAGCTTGTTTTAGATGGTGTAATGTTTATGCTAATCCATTTACAATGGCAATTATTAAAATTACAAGTTTTTTTAAGTGTAATTTTTTGATTCTTGAAAGTGTTCATATTCATGTTCTTGAACTTATGAAGATTAGATGATCATAGGAATTGTTTGTAACCTTCATGGTAGTTTAATTCATGATCATAATGTGTTTTAATGGAGTCCATAACTTGTCCTCAAGTTATGGAAAACCAAAAGTCTCACTTTTATTAAAGCCATTAAAAGAACACAAGAGTTATAAAAATGAAGAGTCTTCATTTTTATTACTCAATTAATTCATAAGTTATAAGAAATGAAAAGTTTTGGAAGTTTACAAAACTTGCCCTCAAGTTTTGGAACATGTAAAGTCTTGATTAAAACTTTAGTTCCAACCCTTAGAATTTTAAAAGTTAAAATTCAACCCTTATACTTTATAATATTATAAGTTACTAATATATATATGTATAACGTCAAGTCGTCTTACCGCTAGTACGCCTCATTCACGAAGCCGGTCTATAAGGGGGGTATAAGGTTGTTGCCTATAAAATGGCAACTTAATGGGTGTCCACTCTCACCCACCGCTTCCTTGATCGTGGAGGGTCGTTAGCCGAACGGGTAAGACAAGGACTTATAAATTCTCATTAAAAGTATGATGAATATTATAAAGTAACTAAATGCTTTTATTAAATTCCCAATCTTAGTTACTTTAGGAAAATGTGAATAAGGTGCTAATCCATGAAATTACACTTTACACTTTGTTTAAGTCGTTGGTGGAGCGTGTGTGGTTAACCGGCACACTAACTTGGACTTAACAAGGTAGGTAAAGGGTGACTTAAGGTTTACCATAGCATCGGTGGAGCGTGTGTGGTTTACCGGCACATCGATTGAGTGATAAACCTTGAGGGTACCAAGTGATTTGCATGGTTACTTCACACCTCGTTTTGTGATCCTCGGTATCCCAGTCACAAAACTTGGAGGGCACACTCGAGATTGAAACATGCCTTTGAAAAGTTCATTGAATCTCAAAAGAATCTAGGAATTTCTAAGAACCAATTAAAAACCTAATATTTATATTTCGTTTTTCATGGTGGAAATTGGTGAA